ATATGGACATACAACAGAGTGCACGGGTATGTGGACATACCAGCAGGGAGCATGGGGATATGGACATACCAGCAGGGAGCGTCGATATGGACACCAGCAGGGAACAAGGGATGTGGACATACCAGCAGGGAGCACGGGGATGTGGACATACGAGCAGAGTGCACAGGTAATATGGACATACCAGCAGGAAACAAAGGGGATGTGGACATACCAGCAGGGAACACGGGGAAGTGGACATACCAGCAGAGAGCACGGGGAAATGCACATACCAGCAGGGAGTACGGGGATGTGAGAGCACCAGCAGGGCATGTGGACATGCCAGCAGATGCGTACGGGGATATGGACGTACAAGCAGGGCATACGGAGATGTGGACATAACAGCAGAGAGAGCACGGGGATATGGACATACCAGCAGGGAGCACTGAGGAATATGGACATACAAGCAGGGAGCACAGGGATGTGGACATAACGGCGAGGGAATATGGACATACCAGCAGAGTGCACGGGGATGTGGACATACCAGCAGAAACGCAGGGAAATGGACACACCAGCAGAGAGCACAGGGGATATGGACATACCAGCAGGAGCATGGGGAAATGGACACACCAGCAGAGAGCACAGGGGATATGGACATACCAGCAGAGAGCATGGGTATGTGGACATACCAGCAGAGAGCATGGGGATGAGGACATACAAGCAGCGAGCACGGGGATATGGGCGTACCAGCAGGAAGCAAGGGGATGTGGACATACCAGCAGAGAGGGCATGGGGATATGGACATACCAGCAGAGGAGCACGGGCATATGGACATAACAGCAGAGAAGCACGGAGATGTGGGCATACCAGCAGAGAACACAGGGGATGTGGACATACCAGCAGAGAACAGAGGATGTGGACATACCAGCAGAGTGCACAGGTATGTGGTCATACCAGCAGGAAACAAGGGGATGTGGACATACCGGCAGGGAGCAAGGGGAAGTGGACATACAAGCAGAGAGCACGGGGATATGGACATACCAGCAGGGAGCAAGGGGATGTGGACATGCCAGCAGAGAGCACGGGGATATGGACATACAAGCAGGGAGTACGGGGATGTGGACATAACAGCAGAGAGCACGGAGATGTGGACATACCAGCAGAAAGCACTGGCATATGGACATACCAGCAGGGAGCACGGGGATGTGGGCATACAAGCAGAGAGCACGGGGATGTGGACATACCAGCAGAGTGTACAGGTATGTGGTCATACCAGCAGGAAACAAGGGGATGTGGACATAATGTCAGGGAACAAGGGGAAGTGGACATACCAGCAGAGAGCACGGGGATATGGACATACCAGCAGGGAGCACGGGGATATGGACATACCAGTAGGGAGCAAGAAGATGTGGACATACCAGCAGAGAGCAAGGGGATATGGACATACAAGCAGGGAGTACGGGGATGTGGACATACCAGCAGAGAGCACGGGGATATGGACATACCAGCAGAGAGCACGCACATATGGACATACCAGCAGGGAACACGGGGATGTGGACATACCAGCAGAGAGCACATGGATGGGGACATACCAGCAGAGAGCACGGGGAAATAGACATACCAGCAGAGAGCACGGGGATATGGACATACCAGCAGAGAGCATGGGGATATGGACATACCAGCAGGGAGCACGGATATGGACATACCAGCAGAGAGCACGATACCAGCAGGGAGCATGGGGATATGGACATACCTGCAAGGAGCACGGGTATATGGACATACCAGCAGAGAGCACGGGGATATGGACATACCAGCAGAGAGCACGTCGATATGGACATACCAGCAGGGAGCAAGGGGATGTGGACATACCAGCACGAAAGAGCACAGGGATCGGGACATGGACATACCAGCAGGGTGCACGGGGATATGGTCATACCAGCAGGAAGCACGGGGATATGGACATGACATTCCAGCAGGGAGCAGAGAGCACGGGAAGTGGACATACCAGCAGAGAGCACGGGGATATGGATATACCAGCAGGGAGCACGGGGATATGGACATACCAGCAGGGAGCAAGGGGATGTGGACATACCAGCAGGGAGCACGGGGATATGGACATACCAGCAGGGAGCACGGGGATATGGACATACCAGCAGAGAGCACGGGGATATGGACATACCAGCAGGGAGCACGGGGATATGGACATACCAGCAGGGAGCACGGGGATATGGACATACCAGCAGGGAGCACGGGGATGTGGACATACCAGCAGAGTGCACGGGAATATGGACATACCAGCAGGTAGCACGGGGACATGGACATACCAGCAGGGAGCACGGGGATATGGACATACTAACAGAGAGCACGCGTGCTGTCTTACCTGGGTGAGTGATCGTGTAGCAATACGTGACTGGGAGGAAAACTTTGTTATAACACGTCACAGTACATCTATTTCTAGGTATATGACCAGGACCTTATACAAACCAGGAAAATCTAACGTGAGAATACACATGACTAATGACTGCATTAGAAAATATCAACAATTGTGAGTGTGTGTGTCTGTGTGCGTGACGCTAAAAAATTCTCTGAAAAGAGGAGCCAGTCATATTCCAGTTTATTCATCTCGAACGGCCTTCCCATTGCGATTGAGACCTTATTCACACCAAAGAAGTGTTTATAATTGCTCAGTATAGATATAAGGCTTATACAGGTATGAATGACGGGTTGACTGACTCCTCGGTAGACACGGTGGGTCATGGTATTGAACGTGCACATGATCCTAATCGAGATCGTATGACGTTTCTTGCTCATGGCTCAAACTCCTTATTGTACACAATCGTGCAACATATTTCAGTGTTTTAATATGTTACATGTTTGCATTTCAATATATATAGCGATGTATTTGTGGTTCACTTGTCCTCATGTCTCTCCATATGGCTGCTGTGTTGGCGGAGTAGCCTAGTGGTTAAAGCGTTCGCTCCTCAAGCCATAGTAACGGTTCAATTCCCCACATGGCTACAAAATGTGAAGCCCATTTCTAGAGTCCCTCTTTGTGGTATTGATGGAACATTGCTAAAAGTTGCGAAAATCAATACTCACTCATTCATGAGGTTACCAAGTCTGACCATCCAACATATATTAATCGATTTTATACAAAACGGTTCTGGAGACTTATCCTAGCCGGGACTAGCCATATGTTGAGCTGGATCAGTATAATAGGGGTGGACCCAGCTGGAAAAGAGACTAGACTAAATCGCAAATTCAAACTATGTACACACTATGTCAAATCAATACATCCATACGGATACAGCGTACATATATATGAATACATAGCTGGGTGGGCATTTGTAATAAGCGTTTACTCGTCACACCGGGCTGAGTCAATTTAGTTTTATGCCGCACTCGGCAATATTCCAGCTACATGACGGCGGTCTGTAAATATTCAAATCTGGACCAGACAATCCAGTGTGCATGAGCACCGATCTACGCAAATGGGATACGATGACATGTGTCAACCAAGTCAGCGAGCCTTATCACCCGATCTTGTTAGTCGCGTCTTACGAAAAGCATGGGTTGCTGAAGACCAATTCTAACCCGGATTCACATCGGGGACATGACGTATGTTCTTCAAAGCGATCACAGCACAAGAGTTATTGTGATTCCCTAAAAGAAATAAAATAAAGGCGTGACTCTCTACTCAGGCAGGAGAAGGTACCCACAACAAACGGATCCTGCAACTCTGAATCGAGTGACTGACATTATGAGCACCGATCTTTTGATACGAAAACGCATGGAGAATATCCTAAAGTTTGTACAACATGAAGTGGAAATAAATATTTAAACAAAAATAATTTTTATGCAATGGCATTCATCAACCACCACGGCGAGACTGACCACGTGATCCCACTAGACACCTCTTACCACAAGGCACGGTTTACTCAAGCCCAAATCTAACGGTGCTTTCGGGCAAGTATATTCTGCACATTCGAATGAGAAACAAGGAAAGTCTATAAATAAGCTCTTCCTTGCAACTTACGGTTTTCCTGGTCTATGTGTCATTTCCTGCTTATTTATTAACAGTTGTTGATATAGAACAATAAATACGAGAATACGTGTGCGAATAATTTGCAATAAAACACGTGTTAGGCGGAACAAACGGAAAGTAATTCACGAGTCCCCTGTAACTCGTAGACGGCATAGCAAGGATCTATACACAGGTCATTGAGGCGTCACGCGTTTAAAAAGCGATAAAACATTGCAGTTTCAGCCTCCAAGAGATAAGTTCAGTTGTCACTGGAATAAACCGGTTTTTGAACGTTCACGTTCACGCGCTAAATCGCAGACGCGGTTGACACATGTCATCGTATCCCAATTGCGTAGATCGATGCTCCTGCTTTTGATCACTGGATTGTCTGGTCCAGACTCGGTTATTTACAGACCACCGCCATATAGCTGGAATATTGCTGAGTGCGGCGTAAAACTCAGAGTTAACTCAACTAACAATTTCACGTTTCACTGTAGACTCCCATTTTACGCGGTCACAACGTTGTGGCCTGACATTGTGATACGTCATTTTTTAACTTGGAAGGTTGGAAGGTTAAGTTATTTTATGCTAACGTATTTTACGTTGTCTTGACGACGTTCTAGTTAACGTTAATATTTGAGTACTTTTCACAGTAATGGACAGTGCATAAGAAAGAAAGCAGAAATGAACTTCGATGCTTATTGGTCAAGTTCTACGTTGGTTTGGTCGTGTTCTTTCTGAAGCTGTAACTGAATAGTGAAGAAAGATCTATGTGTCAGAAACGTTGTTATAACGTGGTGAGGAGCCCAAAGCATAACGTTTACAGTCCGTTTGAGACAAAATGATACCGATGAATTGCAATCTAACACAAAAACAAACAGACATAAAAGAATCAAACCAACGCGGACTGCAATAAAAGTAACAGACCGACTCTAGAAAAAAATTGCATAAGTTTTGTCACAAAAATAAAAAGGTTGTTTTAGAAACTGCCCCAACCCAGGGCTCCGTTTCACAAAGCTCTCGTAAGCCTAAGAACTCGTAACTTTCCTCGTAGCATTAATACCTCCTATACTGTAACACTGACTTACGATAGTCGTAGGGCTTAGAGAGCTTTGTGAAACGGTGACCATGTCCGACCAAAAGTCACATTGACCTGAGTTACTATTACGTCATGCTATGACGACATTTACGTCAAGCTGTGACGTCATTCTAGTGTTTACTTGTCACAGTATTGTTGACATAACGTTATTGGTTTATAGTGAAAATAAAATTTCTTTTCTTGACTATATGGGCATGTTTTGGATTTTAGAAGCCTTTATTCGGTAATTACACATTCTACCATGGCTACGTGAAATTCTTGATTCTGATTGGTGAATCAATAAAATTAGACGCTATCATTTTGGGATTGAAAATTCGTCTGATTTTATGACCGCTTCACTGCGCACGTATACAACACTGCCGCATCAGCTTGACCACCAACAGTCGTTGGTTTCACGTTACTGTTCAACTTGCTGTGCGCATGCGCAGAGCGTGTGAAAAATATCCACTGGCATGTTTCCGGTTTGGTCGTAGGTTTATCCATAGTGTAAATGCACGGTAAATAAAAGCTGTTATGAAAATTATTTACGTTGTGACAATTGTTCATAGCTCAGTACATACTTCCATTTGCCTCTGCTTTTCAATAATTGGTTGCAATTCAATCACTCAACAAAATGCCACTCAAACAAATTCAGTCAGAGATGTGTTTGTTTAGTTGTGAGAAGGGGATGTGCGGGAAGGACTGACTGACTGAGTTTAGTTTTACGCCGCTTTTAGCAATATTCCAGCAATATCACGGCGGGGGACACCAGGAATGGGCTTAACACATTGTGCCCATGTGGGGAATCGAACCCGGGCCTTCGGCGTGACGAGCCAACGCTTTAACCACTAGGCTACCCCACCGCCCCTTGCGGGAAGGACGGTGGTGATATGTCTTTATACAAGACCTTGTTGATATAAATGAAGCTATTTATTTAACTTATCCCGGCCTTTGTTTCATAAATCAATTGGGATCAGTTGTATTCGACATAAAACTATATATTTGTTTCGATTTTTGTTTTCTTTGGAGTGTTTACACTATCGATAAACATACAACCAAACCGGAAACATGACAGTGGATATTTTCCGCACGCTCTGCTCATGCGCACAGCGGGTTGAACAGTAATGTGAAACCAACGAATGGCTAATATCAACACAACAAACGTGATGGAAATGCTGATAAAACATTTATTAAATCTCGAAAAATACAATTATTATATGATTTTCCTCCACAATTATTAGGGAACTCACTATAATATTACCTTAAATGATAAAAATATTCAAACTCAATTACTATACACAGCCCCAAACATAAACAAACATAACATGTAAATGAGAAGACCTTGTAAAAATTCATCCCTATCTATACAAAATGTGCAGTAAATCGTTCGTAAACATTTACCTACCTGGTAAATGATATATTTGTTTCCGTTTAGAATCATAAGCAAGATAACGGTCAGACGAAACACAAAATACTCCATCATATCCCGTTGCATCGTTAAAAAAATACATGTAAAAAACTGAACCCCCAGAATTCTGCGCTCTGCCAGCTTCCCCACAAAGCTGTCACTGCTGGTGATCGATGTTCATACACTTTGAAAAAGGTTTGGCCACAATCCAGTCAAAAATGATGAAAACAATGTTCCAAGGAATCCCAAGTTAGTCGCATGTACACAAAGCAGCACTGTCACTCTTTTCGTAGCATGCCGGGATGGAGACACCTAAGTGAAATCATGATCCACACTCGCTGTTCATACAAATCTTTGAATAGTTACAGGTCGTAGATCGATCAGAAAAAGGATCTGGATTCTGCAGGGATTCTGCAGGGTTCAGAGTCGATAGTCAGTCAAGTATTTTCCACTGTCACATCAAATTTCGACCTTTCGCAAAATGTAAACACTGGCTGCCCGCCATTTCAAACTGTTGCGTAACTGTCAACAACTACAGACTGCACTTCCAAGAAAAATAAGTAGGTCAGACGATTCCATTATAGTGTGGCGAAGGGGTTAGAGTAAACGGCACACAAAACCATAGGCTGGTTTCGGCCGTGTGGAGTTTGGATTATATAAAGCAAGCGCTTAGGTGTTACATTATTGCTTTGAATAAACAGTAGTTTGTTTTCTTTGGACAGAATATTTTATATGTTGCAATGATTAAAAAAAATACGAACGGCACCTACCACTCCCTTCACAGACGAGCCGGATTTCGCAGTGTCTTTCGCGGAAGGAAGGAGTTCGATATTAAATCGGTTATGGTAGAATGGGGATAAACGTATTGTGTTCGAAAATTAGATGAATGTAAGGCAGAATTGATAGTCTCTAAAATAATCATTTGAAACCTCACGATACGCGTTCGGTTCCAAATGAAAGGCTGAAAAGGTTCCAAGCGGAAGGCTGAAAGTCATCACACTGTCAGCAGGCAGTTTCTATCAATTTATGTTGGAGAGTAATAAACAGAATACTAAACTCACTTCCGTGAAATACCATTTTTATTAAAGTCGTGAAAGATTTTAGTAACCTCTATAAATCACGCAATACTAACGTTGTGACAACGTTGTGTCTAAACATTTCCAATCTACAACCTTCCCACGACGTTACGAAAACGTGTGTTAGCTGCTACCACCTTGTCGCCAGCGATAACCCACTCAACTACCGCTGCTTCCAAAAAACTGGTGGTGTAGATTACGTACTTTCTGTCGAATCCTTGATTGGGTTAAAACTTAAAACAACGTATTAGTATCTGTACTTGAGCGTACTCCTATATATAACATGCTATATCTAAATACTTGTACTTTCTAAAAGGCTTTTTTAATTCAACATGTAAATACCTTATATAAGTTGTTTCTGGTTCAGCTGATATTAATGCAAATAACTGAGGTACTAAATTAATCGACCCTTTAATCGCACTATCCTAACTCTTTGAGCAGACACGCACACACACGCATACACCTGACATTATAGAGATGTTCATTCTTACCATTACATTCCGTAAAATGTGGGGTAGCCTCGTGGTTAAAGCGGCGGCTCCTCACGCTAAAGACCCGGGTTAGATTCCCTACATGGGTAAATGTGTGAGGCCCCTTTCTGGTGTTCCCCGCCGTGATATTTCTATGATATTGCTAAAAGCGGCCTGAAACTAAACTCACTCACACACTTATTCAGTAAAACGTTCATTTCATGAAGCGTATATAAATTATAATTATTTTTGAGTTCGGAAAATTGTGAAATCAAAACCATACCAGTAACATAATGAGTTACAAGTGAGTGACTGAGTGGATTTGTTATAGTTGAGCTATATTCTAGCAAATGGCACCGAGATTGAGGGTTGCATACTGATACACTAAACTGTGTAAACACGAGTGTTCCGTGTGATGGACCACAGTTTCAACCACTCATGTTGGGGCACGGGGTTCGATTCCCGGCTTTGGTAATATGTGATTTGCACTGTTGACGGAGATTAGGTGGAATCTTGGTAAAACGGCGTAAACCTATACCCACTCACCCATGTCACAACCATTTGCATAATACACACACACACACACACACTCTCTCTCTCTCACACACACACACACATATTTATATAAACCAATGCAGACCGCCTCCGTGGTGTAGTGGTTAGAGCGTCCGCCCGGAGAGCAGAAGGTCGCAGGTTCGATCCCCGACCGCGTCATACCTGCCTAGCGCTCGGCATTAGAAGGTACAACAAGGACTGGTTGGCTCGGAGTCAGTATTATGTGTCTGAGTAGGGTATTCATGATTCACTGCGGCATAGTATCTTAGTGGGCTAGCACTATAAAACCAGCTTCAGTCTGGGCTAGTACAAGCAGCCGCACATACAAATACACACGCATGCACGTCGTCATATGAGCGAAATATTCTCAAGCACGACGTTAAACCCAATTTCACCTCACCTCACCTTATGATTCTCGTTATCCACTTTGTTTGAATCAATATTGATCAATTTTAGATGCAAATACCTGTGACAATACTGATGCGGCTTCAAGGAACGGCAAATGTACAGTTTCCTCCTCACCAACTTAAGGACCACCCGGGTTTGTGTGATTACAAACATCTCATGTCATAAAATAATTCTTGTACCTATATTTATCATTTTATGTTTGGACACTAGACACTTAACTCAAGTAGTAAGTTCTGAAGATCGATGTTCACAACAAAGATGATATCTAATCATAGATCAGTTGCCCTGTAGTGGTTTGATCACAAAACACAACTATGTTGAAAGCATCGACAAAGCTATCATCAATAGTCAACCATGAAGGTATTTTCATTTATGGAATAGGTAAATATAGGTTATTTGAGATCATTCTAGAATCCATACCGCTTTTTGCGTAATATCTTGACATGCACTATTCGTTTTGGCAAATGGGGCCGTGGGGCAGCCTTGTGGTTAAAGCGATCGCTAGTCAAGCCGAACACGGGGTCGTTTTCCAGTATGGGTAAAATATGTGAAGCTAATTTCTGATGTAGCTGCAATATTGCTAAAAGTGGCGTAGAACTATATTGAATGCCATCAAAAACATATTTGTATTTGTTGTCCCGGAACTTACAAAAGTTATATTAAAGATTATTTTCCTGCGACACAGAGGATGTAGGGCTGTTATTCTGTCCCATTTCTAGTTCGAGTCCCCGAGCATTTCTCTCACATGGACTTTGATGCTTAAAACTGAACCTTTGACATTTCACGTAAACAACCACATTCATCAAACACGTTGTGCACCCAGGCCCTTTAAAGCACAAGGAATAGTGAAACTCAATTACTTTGAAAAAAATACCATGCTTGACACAAGACGAAAGGAATCAGGCTGTCAGTATAGTCAGCCAAGGTGATTAAAGTGTGATGGTTGCCAGGCACTTTAATGTGCATCCATCCACTGTTGCTCAGATCAGACAACGTTTCCAATGTGTATCCAATAGTAGTAATCATGGTAATAATGATTGAATTAGGAGATAAACGTACTGTGTTGGGCAATTAGATGAATGTTAGGCAGAATTGATAGTCTGTAAATTTCATTTGGAACCGAACGCGTAGTGGAAAATACTTGACTGAATGTCGAATCTGAACCCTGCAGAATCGAAGAATAGATCCTTTTCTGGTCGATCTACGACCTGTAACTATTCCCAAATTTGTGTGACCAGCGAGTGTGGATCATGATTTCACTTACATAGGCTGTAGGTGCCTCCACCCCGCATGCGACGAAAAGAGTGACAGTGCTGCTTTGTGTACATGGGACTAACTTGGGATTCCTTGGAACATTTTTCTCATCCCTTGGGACTGGATTGTGGCCAAGCTTTTCAAAGTGTACGAACATAGCAGTGACAGCCCTGCGGGGAAGGTGGCATAGAGCGGAATTCTCGTGGTTCAGTTTTTGACATTTTGAACGATGCAACGGGACATGATGGAGTATGAGTGGCATAAATTTTGTGTTTTGCCTGACCGTTATCTTGCGAATTTCCCATTCTAAACGGAAACAAATATACCATTTACCAGGTAGGTAAATGTTTACGAACGTTTTGCAGCACAAATAGGGATAGATAGGGATGTATTTTTACAAGCCGCAAGGTTTTCTGATTTTCATGTTAGATATTGTTTGTTTATGTTTGGGGCTGTGTATTGTAATTGAGTTTGAATATTTTTATAATAGAAGGTAATAATTATGATAGTGAGGTTCCCTAATAATATTGTGGAGGGGAAATCGTATAATTGTATTTTTCGTGTTTTAATAAATGTTTCATCAGCATTTCCATCACGCATGTTGTTTTGATATTAGTCATGTTGGTGGCCAAGCTGAAGTAGTGCGGCAGTGTTGTATACGTGCGCAGTGAAGCGCCGTGAAATCAGACGCATTTTCAATCCAAATTATTCCCGTCTGATTTCATTGATTGACCAATCACATTCGAGCATTTCACGTAGCCATGGTAGAATACATTTACAATATGTTTTCTGACCTAATATGCTCAGTAAATAGATTATGGCAGGATGACCAGAAGGTAAAGAAATCGCTGTTATTGCATGTAGAGCAAGGATTATATTTTGTAATTTCATAATATTTTGATATCTCCCCTAGTACATGCTTGAAATTTGAAACTTGTTTTATTTTTTGTGTATATATTACACGTTCCACTAAAAGACATATTGCATTTAAAGAATTATTAATTTTCCCTTTAAATCCAAGTAAAATGTTTTCTGGTGTAAAGTCGATGTTGCCTTCAGCTACAGTCATTAGCCATCTGGTCAAACTCTCCCAAATCTCTTTAACATGACAACAGCTACAGAATAGATGGACAATTGTTTCCAATTCCTTTGAGCAGAATGTACTTATGGTAGTGTCATTTAGACTGATTTTATTTAGGAACATGTTTGTAAGTGTAACATCATATAATATCTTCATCTGTAACCATTTTGATTGTACATTTGTACATCGATTTGGCATCATATATGTTTCGTAATCATGTGTTTCAAAGACTCTTTCCCACGTTTTATGGGCAAATTATTTATTTTAATTAGACTCGAGTAAAGAATGATAAAACATTTTGGAGCTTTTAACCCTTACTGTAAGTTTGGATATATTGAATGGTAGTAGAATGGAAGAATGACTTGTCTTCTCTTAAAGCACGCAATTATGGAAGATTTAATACTATGATATCTTAAGATATTTGTTTTGACTTGATATATTTCTTGTAGTTCTTCATAGAATAGAATTCCCCTGTAGTAGGATTCATTAGATCATAAATAAACTGTATACCTGCATTGTACCAATTGTTTATATACATTGTCTCGTTAGTTATGTTAAACATATAATTAAACCAAATTCATTGGTTTCACATGTCGTTTGAATTTAATGTCTGATGTTGCGTTTGTAAATATCTCTTATTATCTCAACTGGGGGTGATGGAATTGAGGAAAATAGATGGTTTAATTTTGAGTGAGTGGGTTAAGATTTAACGTCACATTGGCAGTATTTGAGCCATATTGTGACGAGAACATATTTGACATTGAAATGAAACATGTGTATATTATAAATACCTGTCGTCGAAGGACAGTAAAACAACTAGAATATCACAATAAGAGTTAAAACCAGCGTGGGAAGTTAAAACTCATAGCACTATTTGGACAATACCATATAAAAGCAGGCTATAGATCGCCAACACCTGAAAGTAGATGACCATACTAGGAACGGTTTAATTTGAGAGTAATAGTGATTTCAAAATAACATTTTTACTGATTGGGGTAAATGTTCTTATTGACTATAACTTCATTTCATTCTCTATCTTTTTGAACTTATTATCGTAATTCAATTTCACCATTTTGTCAAGGTCAACATCAAATATAATACCCAGTAGCTTAAAGTTACTTTGAGTCCATTCTAAGTTCTAGTTTATATCTACATCTTTTTAGAGCCTATCCAGATCAGTCTTGTCTTGTCAGCATTAATTACCTAGCCTGAAAACCTTGCACAGAAAATATAAAGTATTC